TGGCTTAGCTTGTTAAGTGTCTGCCTCCAGCTGAGATCAGGATCCCAGAGTCCTGGGATCAAGTCCAGCATCAGACTCCCTGCCCAGTCCGGGCCTGTTTCTCCTTCTGCCTGCCACTCCCCCTGCTTGTGCCTTGCACTCTCTCACACAAAGAAATAAATAAATATTTGAGGGTCTGAGTCAGGCGGCTGCTTCTGCTCAGGTCATGATCCCAGGGTCCTGGGATTAAGCCCCATGACGGGCTCTCTGCTCAGCGGAGAGCCTGTTTTTCCCTCTCCCTCTGCCTGCTGCTCCCCCTGCTTCTGCTCTCTCTCTGAAGAAATAAATAAAAATCCTGAAAACAACAACAACAACAACAACAACAAAACACTTAAGGGGCACCTGGGTGGCTCAGTGGGTCAAAGCCTCTGCCTTCGGCTCAGGTCAGGATCCCTACATCAGGCTCTCTGCTCAGCAGGGAGCCTGCTTCCCCCTTTCTCTGTGCCTGCTGCACTGCCTACTCATGATCTGTGTCAAGCAAATAAAATCTTAAAAAAAAAAAAAAAACCACTTAAAATACATAAAAACTCAAAAAAGCAGCCATAGATGATATGCAAATGACTACGTGGCAGTGTTCCCTGCTTATGGGCAATGAATTCTGAATTTCATATAACTTTGTCACAAAATCTTAATGTATTGATTTTTATCCATTTAAAAATGTAAAAAACAATTCTTAGCTTGTGGGCAGTAGAAAGACAGGTGATGGCCTGGATCTGGCCTGAGGGCTATACTTTGCCACACTTATCTTGGAGACAAAGGAGATACACAATGAGAGCAATTTATTAATTTTTTAAGAAAGATTTTATTTATTTGACAGAGAAGGCACAAGCAGGGAGAACAGCACAGGGAGAGGGGGAATCAGGGAACCTGATGCAGGGCTGGATCCCAGGACCCTGAGATCATGACCTGAGCTGAAGGCAGACACGTAACCAACTGAGCCACCCAGGGTCCCAATGAGAGCAATTTAAAATGCAGTGCTTATTTCTACAGTCTAAGGTACTGTTGTAACAAACATTAAGGGGCCTAAAAGTTAGCATTTACAATAAATTTAGAGTACCCATCTGTTTCTAGTAGTACAAATGACTTACTTAGGCAAAAACAAAATTTAGAAATCTCAACAGAACTTACTATGCAAAGACTTCCAACTAGCTACCAATTCTTTCCAGCTCCATACAAAATCTCCAGCACGTTAAGGAAGTACCAATACTTTTTTTAACTAACACCATCTTTCCAATTATCCTCTTGGGACTTAATTATTATTATTATTTTTTTTTCCTTTTAAGATTTTGTCCATCAGGAGAGAGTGAGCAAGTGATCAAGCACAAGCAGGGGGATCAGCAGGCAGAAGCGGGCAGAAGGAGAAGCAGGCTCCCCGCCAAGCAAGAAGCCCAATGCAGGACTCAATCCCAGGAACCTGGATCACGACCTAATTCTAAGGCAGATGCTTAACCAACTGAGCCACTCAGGTGTCCCAGGACTTAATAATTTTTCAGGACTCCTCTCTCCTCCCTCCGGCCTCACTGCCTAGAATCACTTTTTTCACCACCTCTAATTCAGCCACAAGTTCATTATAAAAGCCATCACCCAAGCTGAAAATTCCAAACCATGGAATATTATGTCCCATTAAAAAGCAGGAGACAGACATGTGTTAATTGATATAGAAAATGGTTTATAATAGTAGTCTTCACCTAGCAAAGGGGAGATAAACTAAAGTTTGTAAAACAGCATGCAAAAACTATATACACATGCACAAAGGAGAAACATCTGGAAAGATGGTCATCAGAATACTAGTGGGTGGGGAATTTCAGGTATGTTTTATTCTTGTACTTTTATTGTTGCATGAACATGTATCATCTTTAAGATGAGAAAACCCAGGGGCGCCTGGGTGGCTCAGTTGGTTGAGCAACTGCCTTCAGCTCAGGTCATGATCCCGGACTTCCAGGATCGAGTCCCGCATCGGGCTCCCAGCAACTTGGGGAGTCTGCTTCTCCCTCTGACCTTCTCCTCTCTCATGCTCTCTTTCTCCCTCAAATAAGTAAGTAAAATCTTTAAAAAAAAAAAAAAAAAAAGAGAGAAAACCCAGGAGTGCCTGGGTGGCTCAGTCAGTTAAGCATCCAACTCTTAATTTCGGCTTGGTTCATAATCTCAGGGTTGTGGGATCGAGCCCCATGTCGGCTCAGTGCTGGGGGTGGAGCCTGTCTGAGAGTCTCTCTCCCTCACACGCCACTTGTGTTCTCTCTCATGCTCTCCCCCTCTCAAAAAAAAAAAAAAAAAAAAAAGGAGAGAGAGAGAGAGAATCCAGTAAAGATATTTTTAAGAAAAAAAGACCACCACCAAAAATTCCTTAAAAAAAAAAAAAAGTTGTTTAAGGGCACCTGGATGGGTCAGTCGTTAAGCATCTGCCTTTGGCTCAGGTCATGATCCCACCTGGGACTGGGCCCCACATCGGGCTCTCTGCTCAACGGAAAGCCTGCTTCTCCTTCTCTCACTCCCCCTGCTTGTGTTCCCTCTCTAACTGTGTTTCTGTCAAATAAATAAATAAAATCTTTAAGAAAAAAAAAAGTTTAAGTCTTTATTGCAGATGTGCTTAAATATACTTTGAAGATATTGCAAAATATTTATTTACGATGAAATAACATGATACCTGAGATCTGATTCAAAATATTTGGGGGGCGCATGAGTGGCTCAGATGGTTAAGCTGCTGACTCTTGATTTTGGCTGAGGTCATGATCTCAGGTTTGTGAAACTGGGCCCTGGATTGGGCTCTGCACTCAGCAGGGAGCATGCTTCAAGTTTCTTTCTCCCTCTGCTCCCCCACCCACTGTCACTCTCTAACAAATAAATATCTTCAAAATATTTAGCGGGGGTAAATGATATAGATGAAAAGTGTGGCCATGTACTGATAATTGCTGAAGCAGACTGAGGAGTACCTGGAAACTTATAATAATACTTTTATCTTTGTAATGTTTGACATTTTCTCTAAGTTACTCCTCTCTTTCCCGCTCAATGTACCTGCTCCTGCAATTTCAGCCATTAGCCTACTTTATGTTTGCATCCAAATGGTCTTCCACAGAAATTTCCCTTTTTGCTGTTTCAAACCTTAAATTCTTTAGTTTTAGGCTTTTTTTCAGAACTCTAGGCCTATCCTACCCACTGATACCTATAATTTGACAGGTCCAAAATCAAATATAGTTTTTTTTTAATAAAGAATTTTAAGTCATCTCTGGGTGCCTGGGGGGCTCAGTCATTAAGTGTCTGCCTTCAGCTCAGGTCATAATCCCAGGGTCCTGGGTTACACTGAGCCACCCAGGCGCCCCGTGCTTTTTTTTTTGAAGATTATATTTATTCATTTGACAGAGAGAGATCACAAGTAGGCAGAGAGGCAGGCAGGGGGACGGGGAGCAGGCTCCCTGCTGAGCAGAGAGAGCCAGATGCGGGGCTCCATCTCAGGATCCTGAGATCACAACCTGAGCTGAAGGCAGAGGCTTAACCCACTGGGCCACCCAGGCATCCCCTGAATTGTGATCTTAACATCAGTTTCTCCAGACTCCAAATCTATTTCTCCTATTTAATGTTCTATTATTTATTACCTGGCACAATGCTTGGTATATAGAAGGTATTCAATAAACGTGGTGTGAAAGTCACCGTAATACTCATTTCTTACCCTTGCAGATAGTTGTAAACTTATGTTCCCTCCTCAGGCCTCTCCTACGATCTTAAAAGCAGAAACCATTTCTATCATTTTGCATTCCTCCTATAAGGTAAGGGCCCATGATATTGATATGGTCCTTTTCCAGCTAGTTATAGTAAATCCTTTAGATCTGGTGAACTGAAAAAGGAGATTTAAAGGTGATTATTTATGCACATAGGGAAAATGTCCAAAAAATAAAATTAAAAAAAAAATAAAAAAAATAAAAAATCCCTCCTCTCCAATGGTGCAAAGGCCAAACATGTCATATAATAAATAAAATTACCTTTTAGATAAAGCTGTGAATAAACAAAGCACCTCCAATCCTTTAGGCTTCAACTTAAAATGTCATTTCCTCTTCAGGACAGTATCCATATGTACCCATTATGTATAATCAGAACAGTACCCATATGTACGTTCTCAGATGTTTAAGATAATCTCTGCCATGATGTCTTTATATAGGTAACTGTTCTGTTTACGACGTCTCTCACCCCCTCTCTCTAGGATTTGGGAGATAGACCTATGATGATGTCATCCCTAGTGGGAAGCAACCGGACAAGAATCTGGAGGAAAAACCAAGCAGTGTGACTGGGACATTATACTACATGGAATGAGGAGGGGGAAGAGCTGCCTACGGAGGGGTCAAACCTAAGAACCATACCTACCAACTACACAATTAAATAAACCTATGTGGGGATGCCTGGGTGGCTCAGTCGTTAAGCGTCTGCCTTTGGCTCTGGTCATGATCCCATAGTCCTGGGATCTAGCCCCACATCCGGCTCCCTGCTCAGCAGTGGGAAGCCTGGTTCTCCCTTTCCCTCTGCCTCTGCTTATGTTCCCTCTCTCGCTGTGTCTGTCAAATAAGTAAATAAAATCTTAAAAAAAAAAAAAGAGAGAGAGAGAAAGAGAGAGAGAGAGGAAAAATATCTAAACCTCAGCCTAATATTAATCCTATTTCCCTGGCACTGCAGTCAGAATGGCTATACTAGAAGTCACTTAGACCTAAAATCTTTCTCCAAGAGCTAGTCTCCAATAACATGGGCCTTCTAAACTAAGACGGGATTTGTGTACTTTATTAATTCTCTCAAGAAGTAAACCCATTTATTTAGTTCTTAAAGAACTAAAAATCTATCATATAGATTTTCACATATCAAATATATTAGTATTTGATGTCCAAGGCTAATACTGCACTGCAAGAGAAGAACAGGTAGGGAAGGAAAAGGCCACTAAGAGAGAAGCTGGCTACCACACAGCATATTCTCAAGACTATCTTGATAACCAGTTTTAAATTTATTTCATGTCAGATGGTTTCCAGAGAATTAAGGCAGTTCTCTCAGCACATACTGGCAACAAAACCATGGAAATCAATGGCTCTATGATGGCTCATTTTCTGCTTTTCAAAGCAAACACATGGAACGATACCTAATTTCAGTTCAAACTCATTTCCCTTTTATTAAAGTCCAAGTTACCATTACATGGTTTGGTACTCAATAAAGGAAAACTTGTTCAAATAAGGTAATATGTTATCATCAGTATTTCCAGGTGATTGTTTACAATCAAGTAGCATTATGAATAAATCCTTGAGAAGCCCATCTGTAAGAAAAAACACGAAGAATTAGCCAAAAAAATAAAGGAAAGGTAGAATCTTACTAAAAATAACCTTCTTTAGAGCAACAGTCCAGGGAAATCACTGGCTCTGTGTAGCCTTTTCTGTTCTCACTTAATCCTGCCTACAGCTAATTCACAAGGGAGTAGCTCTGTGGCTTTTTTGTGTTTATACACCTAGTACTTACTGGGGTGGTCCTCTTTTCCAATCATAAAGTGTTGGAGAGTTGCCCTATAAAATTTTTTTTTTTTTTTTAAAGAAATATGTCATCGCAGCCAGAATAGATTCTATGTAACAAAGATCTTCTGGACTCCTGGGACTACTTGATAAAATAAAAATTAAGCTAAAGTGTTTAAATATCCTTATAAGAGTCCACTATGGAATATGAACCACACACAAGAGCTTCAAAAATGTAAGGAGGAAATCTATTCTGAATGCCTAGTTTTCCACAAAAATCATTATTAGTACACACCTTTAAAAAATAAAGCCTTTCATGTATTACAAAGATGAGCTAAAGGACTTCAGGGAGGTGGTGGTGGTCTGGGGATGGACAAAGATAAAATCAAGACTCCTGCTCCACAGCAATCTCTAACCAGGCTCACTGGACCTTTATCCTGTGAGGGAGCTGATTTAGCTCCTTCAAGAATTTTGGGTTCACTTTTATTGAAACTTTTATTAGGTAGTTTACTTCCACTATTTTAAAAATCAATGTCCTCCTATTCTTAGGAAGCAAATCCTCTAAGCCTCACTGTTTACCACTGAGAAATGAATATAGCCTCAGTAAATGCCTACACAGGGTGTGTGGCACAGTGAGAGCAAAGGACTTGGGCTGGACTGGCTGGCTTTAAGTGTGGGTTCCAGTACTAGCTATATGACCTTGGACAAGGTGCCTCAGTTTCCTCATTAATAAAAAAGTAAAATGGGAATAATAATAATAGTAACTACCTCAAGGGATGGTTTATGAGGGTTAAATGAGTTAATATTTGTAGAGCTCTTAAAACAGTGCCTGACATAAGAGTCATATACACTGTATGTGTTTAAATAAAAGAAAAAACAAGTCACTGCTTATGTATTTTCTGCACACTCTCACTATCTAAAAAATCTTGTGGCTGGTTCTATTACCTGCCTTCCCGAAGAGAACAAGGTATCAAGTAAGTTTTTATTATCAGTAAATATTTACTTGACTGTTAAAATTCTAATGTGGGCACACAAAAACGAATGCATCAAATTAGTAAAACTCTGTTAAAAATAAACAGATGCATAAAAGCATGTGTGATGAACACCTTGTATGCAGTGGATTGCTACCTTTAGTTTGGGGGAGGTAAAAGGAATGAAATTTTATGTTCTAAATATTTTATATAGATTTTTAATGGAGGCTTCCTCTTGCCTTTACACTAATAAGAGAATATAACAACTAAAAATGACAATTCTAGCTCCTTAAACTTACCATCATTAGTACTCTCTAAATCTTTCTGTTCATGGCCTCTAAGGAGGCCAATAAAAGATCTTACGCTGAGAAATTGAAATGTCACTCACTCCCCACTCCTTGGATTCATTTCTTGCCTTATTCAATGGTGTTGCTTACCCATGGGGTTTACACTTTGTCAAGGCCCAGTTCCTCTGGAGTGGAGATTCCCAGTTCATTTAAAGTTGGTCTAAGTTCTTGGATGACATAGGGGTAGATTTCCTTATGAGGTCCTGCTTTGTCCTGATGGCAAAGAAAATACTTACATTTAGCTCTCTGAAAAGCTGTCTCTATTAAAAAAATGAACTTGAGAATGCTTTTACTCACATATGCAGAGGCTAGTAGCAGAGAATACGTGTCACCTACTTTTAACATAGAACAACTAATGCAGGCACTATTCAAAGTAGGTTTATAAGCACCTCAAGAATAACTGAGACCATTAGATTAAATCCAGAAAAAAACAAACAAAATAAAACAGGTTTTTTAAAAAGATTTATTTGACAGAGAGAGGCACAGCGAGAGAGGGAACACAAGCAAGGGGAGTGGGGAGGGAGAAGCAGGCTTCTCGCTGAGCAGGAAGCCCAAAATGGGGCTCGATCCCAGGACCCTGGGATCACCACCCAAGCCAAAGGCAGATGCCTACCAACTGAGACACCCAGGTGCCCTGAAACAAAACATTTTAAAGCCTCAAGTTACTAGAAAAGGTGGTGATGACAGAATTTTGTGAAGATAATTAAACATGCCCAGCAGGCAATAGGAATAATTAAGTTAACACAAGAAAAGTTTTTGAATTTGCTTCCAATCTGAGATCTTAACTGAATTAAGTACTGGTGCTGAATGGATTGATAGCCTACAGAACCCTTAATTATCTACCCACTGTAGATAAAGTCATGTCACACTTTCCCTCTTACAGACTTGCATTTCTTTCTTATGGACCATGTCCCTTTGTGGAGAGCTATACTTATTCCCAGGGCAAGAGAGTTTTGACAAACACTCTTTGTCTTTGTCTTTGACATACACCATAAAATGTAATTATACCTATATTTTCACATGCTTCCTCAGGGACAAATATTAAAAAGTCAACTGGGGGCCCCCTGGAGGGTTCACCCCCTGGATGGCTCAGCCAGCTACCTTTGGCTCAGGTCACAAACCCAGAGTTTTGGATCAGGCTCCCTGCTCAGCAAAAAGTCTGCTTCTTCCTCTCCCTCTGCTCCTCCCACCCCCACTCGTGTTCTCTCAATCTCTCTCAAATAAATAAGTAAAATCTTAAAAAAAAAAAAAAAAAAAAAAGTCAAATGGACTAAGAGAGTGCCAAGCTGCTATTCATCTGCCTTTAACAAATTCTAGGTCTCCATAATTGTATTTTTCTAAAAAGATTCATTTCGGGGCGCCTGGGTAGCTCAGTCATTAAGCATCTGCCTTCAGCTCAGGTCATGACCCCAGAGTCCTGGGATCAAGCGCCGCACTTGTCTCCCTGCTCAGCAGGACGCCTGCTTCTCCCTCTCCCACTCCCCTCGCTTGAGTTCCCTCTCTCGCTGTGTCTCTCTCTGTCAAATAAATAAATAAAATCTTTAGAAAGAAAGATTGATTAATTTCTGGCATGCCTGGGTGGCTCAGTCAGTTGGGCATATGCCCTCAGCTCAGGTCCTGAGATCAAGTCTGCATCAGTCTCCTTGCTCAGCAGGTAGCCTGGTTCTCCCTCTGCGGGCTGCTCCCCCTGCTTGTGCTCACTCTCTCTCTCTGACATACAAATAATAGTCTTAAAAAAAAAGATGTATTTCTTTATTCAAGAGAGAGTGCAGTGCACAAGCAGGAGAAAGGGGAGAGGGAAGGAGAGAACCTCAAGCAGGCTCCCCACCATGCAAGAAGCCTGAGGCAGAGCTTGGTCCCATGACCCTGAGATCATGACCCAAGTAGAAATCAAGAGTTAGAAGCTCAACGAACTGAGCCACCAGGCATCCCTTAATCGTTCTAAATTACAAAATTCTTGTTTAAAATGCAATGTATTCATTTTTCATTACAGAAAAATCAGGAGCTATAATCAAGAGAGAGGAGGGCAAGTATATATCCTCCTACATTTTCATCTATGTATTTTTTAAAAATAAAATGGGGTCACACCATAAAAATTGTTTCATAATTTTCTTCAGTTAATATACTATAAATTGTTAGGGCGCTTGAGTGGCTCAGTTGGTTAAGCAACTGCCTTCTCTGGTCATGATCCTGGAGGCCCAGGATCGAATCCCACATCAGGCTCCCTGCTCAGCAGGGAGTCTGCTTCTCCTGCTGACCTCTCTTCTCTCTTGCTCTCTCTCCTTCTCAAATAAATAAAATCTTTAAAAAAAAGTATATATATACATATACATATAAATATATATGCACACACACTTTTGTGTGTGTGTGTGTGTGTGTGTGTATATATATATATATATATATATATATATATAAAATAAATTGATGGGCACCTGCCGGTTCAGTTGGTAGAGTGTGTGATTCTTGATCACAGGGTTCTGAATTCAAGCTCCACATTGGGTATGGAGCCTAATTAAAATTAAAAAAAAAAAAAAAATAGTAAGAAGGAGAATACACTACTGTTGAACACATTTCCACAACATTAATAGATAACCTCTTCTGGGAAGTCCCATCTTAAGAAACGACTAACAACATTTAACTTCATACCACAAATAGCACAAATAACCTTTGTACATCCTTAATTATTTCCTTAAGATAAATTCTCAAATGGAATTGCTGAACAAAAGGGTTATCAAGCAGAAATCTTTTTAAGATTTTATTTATTTGACACAGAAAGGGAGAGAGCAAGCATAAGCAAGGGGAGGGGCAGAGGGAGAGGGAGAAGCAGTCTCCTCACTAAGCAAGGGGCTCAATCCCAGGATCCTAAGGTCATGACCCAAGCCAAAGGCAGATGCTTAACCAGCTGAGCTACTGGTTGATGGGCTTGAGGCACCCCTCAAGCACGATTTTTTAAACTTTGCATAAATTTTGCCAAATTGCCCTCCAGAAAGATTGCAATTGCAATGCACATTTCCTACAGGTATAAGAATTAATTTTAGGGATTTTAACAAATTCAAAAACAGAGGATACACTGATACCTAACAACAGCCCACCCATATCCAGGAACAACTTTAGCATTGTTATTTCACTGACCTTAACAACCTCTAGGATGCGAACTGCACTAGCAAAATCATTTAACCGTCTGCATGCCCGTAAAGCAGCATCAATGATTTTGGGTTCTGGAACCAGATCATAGCCAACGAGTGTGTTCATCCCTGTCAAATAAAAAAAAAAGGATCCATATCAACCTGGAATATCCTCATATAAACTACAATTTAATTATCTACATTTTTACTGAATCATAGACATGTGATCTTGTCTGTTTGGACCTCTAGTCTCTTGTCTATAAAATAAAGTATGAGACTCTACTTTTAACAAGTTCTAGATAGTAAGATCATAATGAATCTTCCACAGTGAAGTAGTGGACAGAACGAACTATGCAGCCACATGCAGGCTGAAGATTAAAAAAAGAAAAAGAAAAAGAAAAAAGAAACCAGAGTTTTCTTAAATGCTAATACTGTTTTTATAATAATTAGCTGGCTCTCTTTCAAACAAGAGGGGCATTTTCAACTCACAGCCTTAACTCTTAGCACAATGTATATACTTTGGTTGCTTTAAAATAGATTTGATTGGAAAATAATCTAAAAACCACCCGAGAAATGCTTAAGGAGAGTTAATGAAGCCCAAATGAGGACATTATAGAGATCTAGAGAAGCATTAGTGCACATTCAACCAGAAAATGACTGGGCATGATTACTTTCAGCTCTGCACAAAATGACATATCATAAAATTTAAAATTCTCTTAATGGGAATGCAGAATTACTGTTCTTTTCATTACTGCTATTCAGGATTACTCAGTAAGAATTTTCCTGGTTGCAGCAAAGTAAGAGTCATTATTACATTACTGCAGATAAGTCTGAAGCACTTAGGTGTCCTGCTTTTAGTTATTTTAATATATGTAAACAAAAGACACAGTGATTACAATACTAGAATAAAGCATTATATTAGAATAAAGCAGTTCAGTCACAGAGACTGAACTCTTTGTATGAGATAAATTACGTACACTTGAAATTAGTTTTCTACTTGACTCCTAGACTAGTCATCATAAATGTTACCTACTCATATTCGATGCACATCTGCAAATTAGGAAAAACAACTTCTAGGTTACTTAAACTGAACGGTAATTCAGGGCAAGATAAATCATAAGTTAGAATAAAAGTAACAAAAAACCCAAACCATTACCAAGAGTGGGGGGTGGGGAGAACCAAATGCCTACTTGCTTAACTTATCTAAAAGGTACAAAATTGTTAATTCTTGCTCATCCTGATCTATCATCATAGCGATGGTTTTCAATCAGGGGTGATTCTGTCCCCCAGCAAACATTTTTGGTTGTTACATTGCCGGGTGGTGGGGGTGAGATGGTGGTTGGCACCTAGTAGGCTGAAGCCAAGGATGCAGTCAAACATCCTACAATGCAAAGGACAGGCCCACAATGAAGTCAATTGTGCCTGCTTTACAAGAAATACTACGAAGGCTATAAACTTTGCCAACTGTAAGTTGCATGACAATACCTAGTTTACATGAGGCATATTTTCAAAATAGTGGCTTTCAACAGAGTAGTGAACGACTATAAAGTACTTGCCAATTCTATGCCAAAGCAGACAAAAATGCCTACGTTCCAATTACCTTTACGCAATTCCCAGGCATCAATATCTGGCTTGTTGAAGTACGTCACCCAGCGAGCATCAAACTCCTCATCTGTCTCATGTGACCCATGGGAGTAGCAGCGAAGAGACTGGACAGCTATAATGAAGAAAGAACAATGACTTCAATGTACAGAAAGAAATAATATTTGACATACCCTGTCAATACATTAAGGTTATTTGTTTTCTTTTTAAAAATTGTGTTAAAAGAAGTGCCTGGGTGGCTCAGTGGGTTAACCTCTGTCTTCAGCCTGGGTCATGATCTCAGCAGCAGGGAGCCTGCTTCCCCATTTTCCTCTGCCTGCCTCTCTGCTTACTTGTGATTTCTCTGTCAAATAAATAAATAAATAAAAATCTTTTAAAAATATTAAAAAATAATAGTAAAACTGTGTTAAAATATATACATCAGGTTTACCATCTTAACCACTTTTAATTGTACAGCCCAAGGACGTAAACTATATCCAATGCATTAAATTCTGAATCAACTATATATATCATGGTAGGAAGATTACTCAGCAGGTTGAATAAAACAAATCTTATGTATTAATACGAAAAAACATCTTAAAAACTAAGCAAAGAAAAGCAAGTAGAACAAAAAGTACTATGTATGTATGTTTATACTTTTTCCCCCCTAATGTGTAATATAGCTTCAAATTGTTAAAAGTGGTCATCCTTGGAAGGAAAAACTATTTCTTTACATACTTCTGAAATATGTGAATTTTTATAAGCACAGTATTAATTCCTGGTTTTAAAAAAATGCCCATTCTAGTTTTATTTTTTCAAAGATTTTATTTATTTGACAGAGATCACAATAGGCAGAGAGGCAGGCAGAAGGTGGGGGGAGGGGCGGGGCAGGGTGGCAGGAAGCAGGCTCCCTGCTGAGCAGAGAGCCCCCATGCGGGGCTCCATCCCAGGGCCCTGAGACCATGACCTGAACCAAAGGCAGAGGTCCAGCCCACTGAGCCACCCAGGTGCCCCCCCATTCCAGTTCTTAAGCAAATTTATAATTTGTATTTTTAATACATTAAAAAGAAATATATTCTCCATTAAATTATATTCCAAAATAAATCACACAACCTGACAAAACAATAGTAATTTAAAAAATTATTTTATCAAACAACAGTCCCCTCCTGGCAAATTCTGATAAACCCCTAAGAGGGAACATACTCTCTCACTTACACCCCATGAAAAAAAACTGCTCTGTAAGATATCTAAGAAGTGAGAGTTTTAAATATAACATATGTAGGAGTGCCTGGGTGGCTCAGTGGCTTAAGCCTCTGCTTTCAGCTCAGGTCATGATCTCAGGGTCCTGGGATCGAGCCCCACATCGGGCTCTCCGCTCGGAGAGCGCTTTCCTCTCTGCCTACTTGTGATCTCTGTCAAATAAATAAATAAAATCTCTAAAAAAAAAAATATATATATAAAACATATGTAAAAAACAACAACAATACAGGACACACTGGGGAAAAGATAGTCTCTTTAATAAATGGTGTTGGGAAAACTGGACAATTACATGCAGAAGAATGAAATGGTACCACTTTTTTACATCACACACAAAAATAAACTCAAAGAGATTAAAGATGTGAATGTAAAACTGGAAACCATAAAATTCCTAAGAAAACATAGGCAGTTAAGTTCTTGGACATCAATCTGAACAGTATTTTTTTGGATCTGTCTCCTAAGGAAAGGCAACAAAAGCGAAAATAAACAAATGGGACTATATAAAACTAAAATGTGCTTGCAGAGTGAAGGAAACCATCAACAAAAGGAAAAGGCAATGTACTGAATGGGGGAAAAGATCTGCAAATGATAAAACTGGTAAGGGTTTAATATCCAAAATATATTAAAAAATCACACAACTCAATATCAAAAGAGCAATCCAATTAAAAATGGGCTGAGGGCCTGAATAGACATTTCTCCAAAGAAGAGAGACAAATGGCCAACAGACACATGAAAAGATGCTCAACATCACTAACCATCAAGGAAATGCAAATTGTAATCACTATAAGATATTACATTATACCTGTCAGAATGGCTATTACCAAAAGGCAAGAAATAACAAGTCTTGGTGAGGATGTGGAGGAAAGGGAACCCTTGTGCACTGTTGGTAGGAATGCAAACTGGTGCACCTACTATGCAAAACAGTATGGAGGTTCCTCAAAATATTATGAACAGAATTCCATATGATCCAACAATTTCACTTCTGGGTATTTATCTCAAGAAAACAAAAATACTTCAGAAAGATACATACATGCACCTCTATGTTCACTGCAGCACTATCTACAGTAGACAAAACATGGATGGAACCAACCTAAGTGTCCATAAATAGAAAAATGGATAAAGAAGATGTGGTATTTATATTTACAATGGAATACTACTTAGCCATAAAAAGAATGAAATCTTGCCATTTATGACAACATGGATGGACCTAGAGTATTATGGAAAGGGAAATGAGCCAGAGAAAGAAAAATAGCATACGGATTTCACTTGCATATGGATCTAAAAGATAAACAAAACAAAGAGACTCAGATACAGAGAACAATCTGGTGACTGCCAGAGGGAAAGGAGCATGGAGGTGATGGGCACATACAGGGATTAAAAAAACAGAAAAACTGTAGAACAAACATTTAGAATTCTCCTCCCTATATGAGGCAGCTGGTCGGCTCAGTTGGTTGAACATCTGACTCAGGACTTCAGCTCAGGGTCCTGGGATCAAGCCCCAAGCCTCGCCACCCACGTCAGGCTCCCCACAGGAGTCTGCTTAAGATTCTCTCCCTCTGACCCTTCCCCACTCATGCTCTCTCTCAAATAAAGAAATCTTTTTTTTTTTTTTGGGAAAAAAAAAAAAGCTTTTAAGATTTTATTTATTTGTCAGAGAGACAGACAGAGAGAGAGAGAGAGAGAGAAAGCACAAGCAGAAGAGGCAGGCAGAGGGAGAGGGAGAACCAGACTCCCTGCTGAGCAAGGAGCCCTGACACAGGACTTGATCCCAGGATCCTGTGAAGGAAAAGGTGTGGGAGAGGAAGAGGTGGGGGGAGGAGGAGGAGGAGAAGGAGTCACATGCTCTATGAACTGTGTCAGCCAGGGACCCCTATCCTACACATCCTTAGTGTAGTATCTGACAGGAGAAAGAGCAGAGAAAAAAGAAAACAGAAAGATGCATAGGTGGAACGACTAGCCAGTTCTGGAAATGGACTGTTACTGTTACATCAAGTGAAGATTCTCATTTAAATTACCATTTGAGCCCAGAGCCAAATTCTGCCTAATGGCACAGAGGACCACAATACAAGTAAGTTCCCATCTTCCCATAGACATAAGTTACCTCCTTAACCAAGCCCAGAATGAAGAAAAACATGCCACTGGAAATGCCCATGATTTAATTTCTACTACAAGAAAAAATAATGTATCTCTAGACTTAAATGTATCTGGTACATAAGTTCCAGAGTAGGAAAAGAGAAGTGTCTGGAAATGAACATTTCTATAAACTCAATCTAAAAAAGTATTTCTAACACTACTTTTTGGCATTCAGTTAAACTCTCCGCCTGCCTCGCTGCCTACTTGTAATCTCTATCTGTCAAATAAATAAAATCTTAAAAAATATATATCCTTAGCTGAATACTTAAAGCACAGTAAAAAATGTTATAATCACATTGGAAGACTGTTTAGTGCTTTTTCTTTTTTTCCCCGAAGACTTTTTATTTGTTTGTTTATTTGTGTGTGTGTGTGTGCGTGTGAGAGAGAGAGAGAGAGAGAGAGAGCAAGCACACGCGTGCGCATAAAAGCAGGGGGAGCAACAGGCAGAGGGAGAAGCAAGCTCCTACGGGACTCCATTCCAGGACCCTGAGATCATGACCTGACTGGAAGGCAGATGCTTAATCCACTGAGTCACCCAGGTCATCCTTTACTGCTTTCTTTTTTTCTTCTTTTTTTCCTTTTTAAGATTATTCTATTTATTTATTTATTTATTTATTTATTTATTTATTTATTTATTTGACAGAGACCACAAGTAGCAGAGAGGAAGGCAGAGAGAGGGGGGAAGCAGGCTCCCAGCTAAGCAGAGAGCCCGATGTGGGGCTCGATCCCAGGACCCTGAGATCATGACCCCAGCCGAAGGCAGAGGCTTAACCCACTAGGCCACCCAGGCGCCACAACTTAAACATACACCCTACCATACTGATCAATAAATCCACTTCTAATTGTTTTCCCAAGAAAAATTAAATAATACGTATGTATTCTTTCCCCAGACGTATTTACATGTACCTTTCCTACCACTCAGAAAAGTGTTTAATACCCATTTCCTTTAGCTTACTGCTGGGTATGATTTCACTAGATGACTAGCAGCTTTGTTTTGTTTCTAACCAAAGATAAAGATGACCAGCAACTACAAATCCTAAGCAAGGAGAATGATGGGTAACCTTTAATAATTTGTGCACTTTCCTTCTGGAAGTCCCAAATTACAAACTAATTGTATTAGCAAAAAAGCTTTTATGAAACAACTGTTTATAATACCAAGCATGATCTGGGAACATACATCCCCCTTCCAACATGGCAAAATCAGACTCTCCCACATGGTTCAAATTGTATTACTAACTTCAGTACTTCAGTAAGGGTAGGAGTAGGATCTACTCTCCTAGATGTGCACATGCCCGTCATATATTTAACATTTTGATTTTTAGGTGAACTACACAGGCATTCTCTCCCCGCTATCAATCCAACTTATTTAGAGCATTTTCACTTAGGTTTGAGGTTTGCAAAGTCCTTTGAAAACAACTGCTCAGTGCTTTTAGACAACCTGAAGATTCCAGAGTAGGAAAAGAGAAGTGTCTGAAAATGAACATTTCTACAAACTCAATCTAAAAAGCTATTTCTAACACTACTTTTTGGCATTCAGTTAAGCATTCTGTTAAAAAAAAAAAAAAAAAAAAAAAGGTGTGCCTGGCTTGCTCAGTTGGTTAAGGGTCTGGCTTGGGCTCAGGTCATGATCCCAGGGTCCTGGGATTGAGCCCCTCATCCTTCCTCTCACTCTCAAATACATAAAATGTTTAAAATCAACAACAACAACAACCAACCAAAAACCTAACATACTTAGAAGAATTAATCCCTTTAGTTTAAATTTAATTAAATCAGAGAGCTTTCCACTTAATAACTAATCAGCTCAGATAAAGTCTCCCCAAATGGTCATTTTGGTGTTGGTAATTCTAGGAGAAAGGGAAAGAAATGAATAATGCAGAGGGCACATAAACAACCTCAAAGGCAGGACTGCTGAGGTGCAAGCCTGAAGAGCAGCCATGGACTTTGGAGCCTAAAGGCTGGAAATCCAGAAGTGTAGGAGTAGTGCAGAAAAGAAGGTTGGACGGTTATTAGAAAGCACTACCTAAATCCTGCCCTTGGCAAGAAAAGGAAGAGCAAACTCCCACTCTTCTGAGTTATCAGGGTCAGGATGTAGTAGCCAGGACTGTTAAAGTCTTAAGGGCTGACCAAAGAACCTAACCACTATTTTAAAATATTTTAATTCAGCAGTTTTTGGAAAACAATGTTTCAAGTTGGAGGCTTCTGGAATTTGGGTTGCCACTTAACTACAGCAAACTTGAGGTCCCTCAGGTTAACCCCTCCAGAGCTCTCTCTTTTTAAAGATTTTATTTATTTGACAGAGAGAGAGAGCACACAAGCAGGGGGAGCAGCAGGGTGCCCACTGAGCAGGGAGCCCCGCAGATGCCAGACTCAATCACAGAACCCTGAGCTAAAGGCAGATGCTTAACTGACTAAACCACCTAGGCACCCCTCAGAGCTCTCTTTCAAGTGTACCCTGATTTGGCCTTAACAGCCTCATCCAAAAAATTTTATTCTCTTTGACTTTCAAATTATAAAAACTGTTCAGTTTTATATGGATAACAAAGCCTAACATATAATTTGCAAAAATGGAATCTGCTATAATAAAGCAAATATATATTTAAGCATTTGTGCCAGGCAAGATGCTACGAGTTACATTATTTCATTTAAGCCTCACAACTACCAAAGATCCTGATTTTAGAGATGAAGTAACTGAGCTTTAATGTTAATTAACATGCCCAAGGTCACACAATTAGAAAGTAGCTGACATAAATGTAACCAACACAAACGCCTAAAATAAAGATTTTTGTTTATAAATTATACCCAAGAATAGAGGAATAGAACTCCTAGAAGATAAACAAATGTTCAAACTTTTTAAGGAGAAGAATCCCCTTACTCTATACAGTCTGCCAAAAATCTCTACCTTTTCCCTAGCCTGCCACAAAATGGAGCAATTTTTTTGAAGAGGTCACAAGAAAACTCCTCAAAAGGTATCTATATTGTAGTACTTTAGCATTTAGATAAGGAAAATGCAAAATAAAACAAAACAAAAATCATAAAACTTGACAAACATCAGGATAGGCCAAAAATAACTACAGCCAAGAAACTGAAAATAGTTCCACCGCTAGTAAAGGAAATCAGTTTCCCAAGATGCGCCTCAATTTCCTCCTTTTTATAAAATAAGACAGTCTTCGTGAAGTGCATGCCAGTTTTACTTTTACTGTTCTATGATAAACGAAGAGAAAACACATTTCTTAGGTTCTGAAGGATCTAGTTATTAACACTCAAGAGTCAAGAAAACAACCTTATTTCTTTTGAGTTCATACGTGTAAATTTGCATGTTCAGGGCCTAATTTTCACACCCCACATATACTACCATCATGGACCAAGACCAAAGTGCAGTTACGCTAATTAAAAGTACAGTGCTGGAAACAAAATCTCCACACATATAGGGGGAAGGCACAGTCAAGAGAGGAATCAGCAGCAAGTTCATATCCCAGCAATCAGATTTTCGACTGGAAGCAAAAGAAGAAGAAGAAAAAAAAAAAAAAAGCTTCCCTTCTGTCTGTAGAACTCAGTATTTCTGAGCGTGTGGGGCCCAATTTTCGAAAGATGTATGTATATACTTTGCCTAAGACCTATCAATATTCAGGCTCTGTTCCAGATTTCAGGAAACAACCATACATGGTTTTTCTTAAGATAGATCTTAAGAATGGAAGAGTTGGAACGTGGCACAACAGTCTCTAAAACGACAGAACGGTCTGCGAAGGTGACATAGACAACGCTAACCGAGAAAGGCCTGATTAAAAAAAAAGTCTACTGTGTCCCACAAGGAAGCATTTGGTGTCCCCAGGAGACGCTATCGGTGTCCGTGCCGCGTCTCCGGAAGGGCCACCCCTGCCCCTACACGGATCGCGACGCGCCGGGCGGCTCAATGTCACCTTCGCCGAGGCGCTGTAGGCCGGCGGCAGACACTCCCAGTCAGGTGGCTGCAGGGGTCAGCGCCGGGGCACGGTCACGGCCCGGGGACCGAAGGAGTTCGGTGGGCGCGGGAGGCGCGCTGCGCCCCTTCCCTGGAGCCCACAGCAGGTCCACACCTGATCGGTCCGCGGTGCCCGCACCAGGAAGTCGCGCTGGGGGAGGCCCCGGGGGCCGCGTCTTCGAGTCCCCCATTTAAGTGGAGGCGGCGGGGAGAGAGGCCAGCGGTCACCAGGTTCGTCCGCCCGCCCGCAGGGCAGGGGCTAGGCCGCGGGGCAGGCCTGCCCTCGAGTGACGGCGGGGGACCAGGTCACCGCAAGGACACGCGGGCGCTAGCAGTGGCGGCGGGGGCCTTACCGGCGGCGGGGCCGGGGACCGGGCTTGAGTACTGGAGGCCTCGAGGGCTGGCACGGGCGGCTGCGGCTGCGGCTACAGCACAACGGCGGAGAGCGGCGCCGAGCATGACGGTGATGGCGGTGCGCAGTCCAAGGCTGAAGAGAAGCCGGGTGTGAACTCACGGGCCGCTCCGAAGCTCGCGGGGGCCGGACTCACGCACCGACGTACGGTGGGTGGAGCGTGAGGCCCTGCCCACTGCGGCGCTCGCGCCTTGGCGGGCAGACTGCGGACGCCGGCGGGCTACGGCGGCGCGCTAAGGACAAAACATTTTCACGCTGTGCCAGCCCGGCCCAGCCCCGCCCCACCCAGTCCCAGTCTCGCCCTTGGTGGAGCCGGGATGTAAGGTCGGTGAACTGCCGGGCGGGGGACTGTACCGTAGTTCACGTCCGGAAGCGATTCCATCAACCCCAAATGGGAGCAATAGGGGGCTTTTGGCGGGCTCAGTCGGTAAAGCTTGCGACTGTTGATCTCGGGGTCGTGAGATGGAGCCCCACGTTGATCTTAGAGATTATTTAAGGAAATGAAGAGATTTAAACGGGAGTGTTAACAAGGATAGCAACGACAAGTTATTATAAAAATACCCTCTTTGTTTAACCTCTTCCCTTCCCTTTTGGAGCCTAAAATAAGAAAATGGGGAAAAACACAACTGCGTACATGTAAGGGATTTTATTAGTAACCCTTCTTAGATCACAAACCCGCAAGCATTAAAAAGTGAGCTCAACCACTTCACTCTACATGTAACAAACTCATAAGTCAGGTTGCTTGTTGGCAATCAAGGCTCTCAAATCCCCAGTTCTCAGGACTTACCTGGATATTTGTTGTATACCGACTTATGATTTCAAACCCATGTTTTGAAATCTTGTTTTGGACAAAGTTGTTTGTGGCTTGAATTGTTTAGAATGACTTATTTTAATGAAATTGCTTTGAAGTTGGATATTAGGACTTTCTAATGGAACAGTTGCACCTGGAGCACAAAAGAACCCTAGGTCGTTCGCTGCATAGTAAGGGCAGTGGTGTCAATCACCTGATGGACTTTCAAACTTTATAAAGAATTTGTGAGGACTTACCAAGAGCATCCCGTCTGGACAAGACTGCCCTTTGCTGGGTACTTGAGACACTTTCTCCTGCCATGGCCAGGCTGGCTGCTTTTGGTTGTCAGTGGTAATAAACCATACAGCAGTCCCATTAAATAAGGGACATCTGTTACCGCTTGGCAAGGCTACTCCTTGTAAGCTTGTGATGGTTCCTGGAGTAATAACCTTTAAAGCAGCCTGCTTTGCTTACCAACACCAGTGCCTTGGCCTGCTTGCTATGTGCCCCAATAGTGAGGGGTCTAGGCAGGCAGCTGATATCCAGCTTTTAGTTGAAGGACTGACTCTACCAAGAACCAACTCACAGAAAGACGCACCTCAATTAAATTTGGAATTTTTTTTTTTTCTAAATTTGGACTTTATTTCTTTCATCTCCACTTTGTCCGGGACAGTAATGTATTTAATTGGTCATTGGTTTGGAATATGTTATTTTTAAATTTCTCCATAAGAGACATTATCCTCTATGCTATTGGCTTGTGAAATGTTGTTATAAGTTATAATTAAGCCAGTGAACCTGTGTTAAGCAAATTATTGGCAAAGACAATTTCAGTCTCTGAGCATAATTTGCCTCAAATAAAACAGTATTTCTGGCCAGAGGCCTGCCCCCGATATCTACAGGAGGGCTCCTGTAGCAGGCTGCTGTGACATGGGGTTGATCACATTCCAAGGCTCTTAACAACTAGTCTGGCCTTATTAACTATATCCTGACTTTGAGCTCTTGGGCAGTGGGGCCACTTTCCCAGGCCTGAATTACCACTATGCCACAGGAGTTAATGAGACAGTCTCTTGTCTTGGTGTCCTTCATTCTCTATCCCTGAACTCACTGAGGAAAGAAAAAATGGACATTCAGCTTCCTTTTCCTCACTCCAGGCCCTTTCTCCTGGGTGTGGCATCTGCCTTTCTCTTTTCCCTCCCTAGCAGTGTGGCTCTAGGCGGTATGATCCTGGCTGGCAAAAGGATAAAAAAGCTTTTCTTTTCAAAGCACCTGCCCTCATCTTCTCCCACTAGCCAAACCACAGAACACTTGGAAAAGCTTTAACCTCATTGCATTTCAATTAATATTTATCAAATCAAGAGCTGGAAGCTCAGGATGAGGTCAGGGCTCCCATAATTAAGAAAGTACTAAATGGGGTATATTGCACCTGAATCCCAACTGGTCTCTCTGTTTTGCCTACAGTGCCTTAGATTGGCTACTAGAGTGTTATTTAATGCAATTATGGCTATAATTTATTATGTGTCACTGAATGCTACAAATTATTTTTTTAAATAAATTCTACCCCCAACGTGGGGCTCGAACTCACAACTCCAAGATCAGGAGTCATATGCTCTACCAACTGAGCCAGCCAGGCACCCTTACAAACTATTATCCCATCGAATACGCATAACAGCCTTGTGAGATAAGAATTTATCCGTTTTATGGTTAAAGGAATAGACTCAAAGGGCACTTGTCCAAGAATCACACAGCTAATAAATAGTAATTTTGGTATTTGAGACCAGGTTTGTCTGATTCTAGAAATTGTGGGATTTTGCCCCACCACCCCCAAAGGTAGGCTTTGATAGCTTCTCAGTGAATTCCAAAGCCGCTGCTATCTTGGGGGGGCAGTTCTCAGCCCTCATCACCAGTATTCATTTTCTATTGCTGCATAACAAGTTACCACAAACTAAGCAGTTTAAAACAATTCCCATTTATTATTTCCCAATTTCTGTAGGTCAGAAGTCCAGGCATGGCATGATTGGTTCTCTGTTCAGGGTCTCAGAAAACTGAAATCAAGACATTAGTCTGCTCTGAGAAATCAGAGTCCTCTCCCCTGCTCGTTCAAGTGGTTGGCAAAATTTGGTTCCTCATAGTTGTGGGACTGAGTGCCCATTTTTTCTTGCTGGTAGCAGAGAGCCCTTCTCAGCTCTTACCACATGGGCCCTCCCTAGGCCCTCTTACAGTACTGCAGCTTACCTCTTTTAAAGGTTTTCTTTTGGTTGTTTTTTTTTTTGTTGTTATTTTTTTTTAAAGATTTTATTTTTATTTGACAGAGATCACATAGTAGGCAGAGAGGCAGGCAGAGAGAGAGGGGGAAGCAGGCTCCCTGCTGAGCAGAGAGCCCAATGTGGGCTTGATCCCAGGATCCCAAGATCATGACCTGAGCCGAAGGCAGAGGCCAACCCACTGAGCCACCCAGGCACCCCAGCTTACCTCTTTTTTTTTTTTTTAAGATTTTATTTATTTATTTGACAGAGAGAGAGATCACAAGTAGGCAGAGAGGCAGGCAGAGAGAGAGGAGGAAGCAGGCTCCCCGCTGAGCAGACAGCCAGATGCGGGGCTCGATCCCAGGACCCTGAGATCATGACAGAGGCTTTAACCCACTGAGCCACCCAGGCGCCCCCCAGCTTACCTCTTTTAAAGACCTCATCTAATTAGGTCAGGCATATCCAGGGAGACCTTTCTTTTTTTCCTTTCTTTCTTTCTTTCTTTTTTTTTTTTTTAAAGATTTTATTTATTTGACAGAGAGACTCAGGGAGAGAGGGAACAAAAGCAGGGGGAGTGGGAGAAGGAGAAGCAGACTCCCCGCTGAGCAGGGAACCCAGTGTGGGGCTTGATCCCAGGACCCTGGGATCATGACCTGAGCCGAAGGCAGACGCTTAACAACTGAGCCACCCAGGTGCCCCACAAGACCCTTCTTTTGATTACACTCCAAGTAGCCTAATCTTGGAAATGATATCCCATCAAATTCACAGATTCTGCCCCAATTATACAAGGTCTGTATACCAGCAGGGACAAATCTTAGGGGCCTTCTTTGAATTCAGCCAACCACACCACTTAGGTGTGTGTGCGGGGGTGCTCCTTCCCAAGTTTGCCCCCAGCTAGGCCCCCAGACCCCAGTCAATTCTGTTGCTTCTGGTGGGTGTTCCTTCCCAGAAGGGTTGAGGCCAGACATCCTGGCTCTTGCCCAAGGCTGTCAGGGTCTTTGGTCTCTTCCTATCATCATCTGCCCTGAAATCATTTTCTGTCCCTCTGGAAGAGCAGCTGCTGGGCTTCCGATGCTTGATGGATGTCTTGGCCATCAGTTGATGACCACATCAGCTTCAGCCTTCCTCCTGGAGGGGTTGTAACGAGGCCCTTCTGATGTGTGCAGAGGAGACAGATGATGGCATTGAAGAACTTGTGAGGATAAAGGCACTGTTCCACCCTGGGAATTTCTAGTAAAAGGAAGATCACTGTCCAGAAAAGCTCTTATTTTTCCCTGGTGAGCATGAAGTATACTGGGAAAAAGTGAATGCTGCCTGTCAAGGCTGGAAGTCACCCTTGAGGCCGGTAGTCTGACTGATCCTATATTGCTTCCCCTTCCTCAGGCCCTCCTGGAGCACCTCCAATGGTGAGGATCCCACTGCTAGGGGGGTGGGGATGAATGAGAGAAGGCACCTGGGAGAATGACATGCTTGTTGCTACTGTATTATTGCTCTGCCACATGCCCTTAGACGTGTTACTTCACTTTCTTGAACCACTTCCCTCCTTTGTAAAATGGTAATAATAATGAAACCTACCCAATATTATCGGGCAGATTTCATAAGATGTAGTGTATGTTGTGCATGGAAACCATGGTCCTGGCAGGCACACGGTCATGTCTCAATAAATGGTAATGAGAGAAAGCATTTTTCTTGGCTGCCTGGGTGGCTCAGTCAGTTAAGCATCTGCCTTGGGCTCAGGTCATGATCCCAAGGTCCTGGGATCCAGCCCCACATTCGGCTGCCTGCTCAGTGGGGAGACTGCTTCTCCCTTTCCCTCTGCTGCTCCCCCTGCTTGTGCTCTCTTTCTCTCAAATAAATAAGATCTTCTTTAAAAAAGTATTTTGCTGTTGTAAAATTATAGTTCTTTTCCCGGGGCAGGGCAGCTTGCGATATGGGGGATAAGGTATGGAGATAATGTGGATAAACATACCATCTTGGTTGCCTGAGAATCAGGGAGAAGGGGTGGTAAAAGGAAGCAGCCTTCAAAAAAAGTCTTGTGGGGCTGCCGTTTGGAGGCTGGCTTCCTTTATTTAGATTTTATTTATTTGTCAGGGAGAGAGAGA